AAACTAAATGAACAAAAAATAAGCATTTGAACAGGTGTCATTTTTTTGTATTTTTTTTTTTGTTAAGCTTTGAGACTTACTATTATAATGTACGCAAACGATTTCTATGTTAGAGTCACATGAGGTGGGGCATAAATATTATACCACCTTTCCCCCTAATTTCTAAAGGTTTTAAAATTACTATTATATATTTTATTTACTTGTGATATAAATGAAAATACTAAATATAATATGGTTATATACTATAGAGAATTAATAAAAACAAAATATAGTCTTAACGAATATTTTGTTGGGCATACGACCTAAAAAAATCGTAGGTACGTATAATCGAATAATTCGAATATTAGTTCGCATACTTCAAGTAAATATTATTATTAATCTTACCTGCAATATTTTTTTTCTGACCAAAACTTCCTTTATATATTCTTTTCTCGTCGTTTCTGAAAGCTCCATCTCCACCGCTTCTTACTTTTCCACAATTAATGTTGTTGACATAAGTAGTAGTTAGGTACCTATAAATACATAATAGACATATCATTATAGTTCATAATAATTATTATATTCTTATTTATTAGTATAGTCCAGTGGCGGACTGGCAGATCGGGAGATCGGGAAATTTCCCGATGGGCCGGTCGAATAATGGGATTATAGGCCGTCTCGGGCGGGGCAGTTTGATTGTACAAATAACTAACTTATATTATGATTTTTAAATTTTAATAATATAGTATTCAGTGTTTGGTGTATTTAAAATCTATAAAATATAACATAAATAATACGATAATAATCATACCAAAAATTATATTTTGTTGTTCTAAGACACAGTTATAAAAATAATTTTAGTTTATATAAATAGAAATAATAGCCTATAACGCATCCGGCAACCATTTGGGTTTGTATCAGTGGCGGTATCACTATTTGTTTGTATACGATAATTCAATATAATATTATTTAAAAATAATATATACTGTTTTCGTATTTCATTCACGAGTCTGTCGTCTGTAATATTGTAATAACTAATAATAGTTAATTTATATTTTGCATTGACTACTGGAAAGAAGCACTACGTACCTTTTGAATATTTACGATCCCGATATCGCCTTTTAAAAGGTAAGATAAATATAGAAAATAATACTATTTTAGACAATTTTGTAAAATTTGGTTTGCGCGGCAAATGGCAATACAATGTGAGTCGTGAACTATTTTACTAAATTATAATTAATAATATATTAATATGTATGCAACAACAACATATTTAAATAATAAAATAAATATGAATTAATTTATTGAATTTTTAATTGTTTTTTATACTATAAAAATGAATGAAATTGTCTTCTCGGAACAGCATGACACGGAATAATCTAGAAGCTTTTGTCTTAATGGCTACAGAAAAAAATATTTTAATTTACATACAGCACCAAACGGTTATAGACCGTTTAGCCTAAAAAAGCAAAACATTTCATAAATTATTAATTCATTAAGCCAATAAATTAAATATATTACCTAAAACGCATGATATATCTGCTGTTATTATTTATATTTTGAATATGCAATGGAAAAAATGTGTCGTATTTTAAACATAAATGTTATAATAAGGTTAGACAATAGTTTTTGGGCCACTTTAAAAAAAATACTCGGGCTGCTCTAAAGAAGCCAGTCCGCCCCTGGTATAGTCAATCTTACTCAAATATTGAACACAAATTTCATCGCGCGCGAACTATATTACGGTAGGTGCGTTTAAAACACGTTTTAAATGTTTGAAAGCTTAAAATCGATACTCATGACACGGCATTATTTCGACTGTAACATATGACACAAGTGCGTTTACCCTGAAATACAATAATTTATTGTATTGCACCCGAACACAAACGTCGAAGCGAACAGAAGTGATGACTGATTCCGTAGACCGTATAGTACCGACAGTACCTGGTCACTATAGTCCAGGGGTGGCGAACCTATGGCACGCGTGCCAGAAGTGGCACGTTGACCAAATTTCAGTGGCACGCAAATATTATTCATCTTAAAAAAAAAATATTATATTTTAAAACTTTAGTATGAGAAATTTTAAGAATCAAATTTATAATAAAATAATTATTAAATAATATTTATGATTTTTGTACTCTTATTGCTACGATAGAAGTACAAAGTAGCCAACATTCGATTACGAAGTTTATTTTAAACTTACCGATACCGCGACCGGTTGCGATAACAACAATTGCACATTTGTCAGCCGTTCAATGTTCAAACGAACTTATAATTTAGTTACCCGTCGGCCGTCATTAACTACCGTGATTATTGATAATTAAATAAATACAGGAAATTTTATTAATATGTCACTTTCAAAAAAAATGAAATGTTCTGAAGAATCAAGTATAGTATGGTCCGTACTCCGTAGTCCATACCTCTGTACCCACTCAGTGACTTGTGTAATAATTTCATATCGGAATTAAGAGTTTAGTTATTTCATTATTTGTATGCTATATATTTCCCAGTTTTATTGCGCATATTTCCAAACGGATATAGATCTCACATTCCCACGATAGATAGACTGATTATATTTTAATATCTCATATCGATATCTAGACTACAATCACATATACGATATACCTACAATGCACATCGACCGAATCATTATACATTATATAATATTATACTGGGTTATTACATATTGAGTAGGTAGCATTTGAGTTGGTTCTTTTTTTCTCGTGTACCAATTAGTAATTACCAATATAGTTTCTACATTACTATTCGGAAAGCTTATAATTAATTTGTGAGGTGAAATACTGAAATACGTTGCGATAATAACGGCTAGGACCATATTATTTACAATTATTTATTATTTTATATTATAATTTTATTATTTATATATACTGTTGTATGCAGGATGCCAATTTCCCGTTCTGGCGTTCTGCCCTATGTCGTGACCGAATCGCCCTCATTAATTTGATACGACCGTGATCGATAACGATATTCCCGAGTTCCTACACCACTACACTATATACCTACATTGTAATCAGGGCTTGCAAACGTTATAATAACTTTATATTTAACCAAAAAACAATTGAAACTTATTAGTGCAATTAAAATGGAAAGTGATAATCAAAAATATTTAAATACTGCAAGACAAAACATAACGATTAACAAAATTTATTATAAATCATTAAATAATACATAACGCAAAACAATATAGCAAATTATTCTGAGCTAAGAATTCATAAAACTTTTTCTTTTTAAATCTATCTGTTTTGCCAAAAAGTGTAAACATTTAATACAAGGCTCCTGATATATTATTACAATATCAGTTGAAAAATATTAAAAATACATTGGCACAATTTTTTTTATAAGCATTTAAAGATCGAATTTTGACAACATTTATCAAATTTAAAATTGAATAATTATTTTGTAGTTAAAAATGTATAAAATATTTAATTTTATATCTAAGAATTGAAAATTTAAAACAAGATTCCACGTAAGTAGTTAATTCTGTAAACCAAAAAATCTAAAAAATGCATAAGCAAATTTTATTTTTATAGTCATTTTAAGTTCAAATTTGGACGAAATTACATATTAAAAAACCTAGAAAAACTATTTTAGTTATTTTGTTGTAATTGTAGGTATAATATTATTCCTATGGGTACTTGAAATTTCTAAAGTATACTAGTAACCCACTTGTAACCTACTGTACAGCAGAGCACATTTTTTTAAATTGAATAGGTATTAACACTATTTTAAATAGGTAACGATAAACGCAAAACTTGTATAACGTCTTACTTCTACATAACGATAAATGCAAAACTTGGATAACGTTTTAATTCTGTACAACGATAAACTTAAAACTCGGATAGCGTTTTAATTCTGAATAACAATAAACGCAAAAATTGTGTAACATTTTAATTGTAAATAACATAAATAGGAATTTTTTTTTCAAATGCAAGCCCTGATTGTAATAATAACTATAATAATATAATAATTAAGTAACTAAGTAATATTTACTATTTAGTACTATTATATCTACTGCGGTTTGTGGTACAAGTCCAGTGCCGTAAAAACAAGATGTGACACTCGAGAGTGTGAATAAACCCAGTGCTCGACTTGGGGTTAAAAATTTCAAGACCCGGGCCTCAACCACATAGGTACCAGTCTTAGAAATTCAGTAATTTAATTTACTTTTAACAATTTTAATTGAATAATTATTGAAAAGAGAAAATTACTTATGGGCAAACAACGAATTTCGTTACATAGCATAATAAGTTCCTCATAATTCAATTGTTGGTGTACTAGCTTTGATCATATTATTATTATTTTACTAATACTACGTGTTCCTCGAAAACTGAAAATATTCTTATGAATCATGATAAGAATTAGACAAAGTGGCATTCGAGTACACTAGCCACCGACTGCTTCTTTTTATAAAAGAGTAATTTATAAATTGCTTTGTATAATTAATAAAATTATAAGTATATTATATTTTAATTTCGTCGTAGGGTTATATTACTTGTTTCTTACAATTGACAGGTTTATTTGATTGCCTTACAGCCCAAACAGGTACCCTAAGTTTCTAACTTTTTTCTGATTTATACAATATTACAATAACTAATAAAATAATAATTTGACCAAATTGAAAATAGTTTATAATGTTAACACTATTATAGATATGGTTGAACATAATAATTGCTGTTAGATTATACAATACAATAATAATAAAGACAGGACTTTGAAATTAGTACACAGAAAAGTCAATGTAAAATGTCCAACTATTGGCACTATGAGACAGTATACCTTTTTTTTTTTTTTTTTTTTTTTTTTCGTTTGAACCGACAGCAGAGGAGGATCTGTGTGAACACTACTACTCCTCTGCTGCCATCGTTTATTAATGTTTAATAAAAACGTTAATACATGCACATTCTCAACTCATAACTAATTATGGTTGCTTCACCTTAAAAATAAACAATAATACAATAGGTACAATACAATGCAGTACAATGCGATACAATAAATAATAGTCAGTCAGTTGGAGCGGCTGCCACTGCATTCGCTTTTCGTTCGGTCTCAGCTATCCTTTCATCATGCTCCTTGCAGCTTAAAATGTTGTCAACCATGTCATAAAAGGACTGAGTGGCACGTTTGGAGGCAGCCCGTATCCGGTCGTTCTCACTGAACGGGACATCGGAGGGGCCGCACAACAAATCCTGGACGTCTCCCGTGGTTATATTTCGGTTACCAACAAACATCTTCACTGGCAGCCGAAGCGGATCCCAGTAAGCACAATCAAATATCGTGTGTTCCGCAGTGTCCTCAGGGTGTTGGCAGTACAGGCAAGCCGCATCAGGGGCGCGCTTCATCCTGTGTAGGTAGTACCTGAAACACCCGTGTCCCGTAAGAGCCTGCGTTACATGAAACGTGAGGTCTTTGGGGCATCTTTTCGTCCATCTTATGAGGTATTACCTACTATTTTAAATTGTTCAATAATTATTATTATTATTACTTATTACTAATTAAATACGTTATAGATATCTTGGTCGTGCTTCATAGCCTAAGCATCATAGGTAACCTATTATGAATTTTGTTTATGTATAAATGTATAATATATAATAATAACTATACCTAAAAACTGTACATAATAGTCTGTTATCTATTTATTTAACATTGATCATAAATATTCATTAATGATAATATAAGATTCGTCGTCGACTAAACAGTATAGGTAGGTACTGTAGTATCACCCGTAGTGGGCAATACGCAGTAAACCTACTATACGCTTGGATTTTGAATTTCTAAATTATCTAATTTTTTGAGTGTGCTTTCTATTACAAATTTTGAGTTGCTAAAGAAGGTGGTATTTAAGTTCGATTCAGTTTTTATTGGACTTTTGATATCTTCGTATATGTGTTCTATTTTTATATACCCAATTTAAGAATAAATGAACATTATTCTGTTTATCTAAAATATGAAATTTGTATATAAGATTCATCTTAAGTTTTCCTACATTAAAAAAAAAAAAAGTTTAGCGAAGAGTCAAAACAATTTTTTACGAGTGTTTGATGTTAGACATTGGATTTTCACCCGTAAATTAACAAATTCGCATTCAACGATTTTCTTACTTAGTCGTTTTCAAAAACTATTAACCATATAGGGACTTCAGTACTTGAAATGTTCATCAAATATTTATTTTTATCATATTCTATACATGACACAATTTTGTATTTCTTTAGTTTTATATTTTATATATTTTAATAAAATAAATTGTATTAGTTGGGCCAAAAAGTGTGAACATTTAATACAAGGTTCTTCGTGCAAGTCACGGTGTCCGCTGAACAAGTACCGCCAACTAGGCTAATTAGGTACTTTCAATTATTTTGTTATAATTTAAAAATATTATTCGTGGGTATATGAAACCTATAAAGTATATTATTATTTGTTTAATTCAAACAATGACATTTTCAAATGCAATATTTTTGACAAAAATGGATTTAACCTACTGTTGTACTAATGCCCATAATAGTAAAATAAAATACTTTAATCACAATAATATCATCAAATGTACTTATTACTACTTAGTCATATTATAGACTGACAGACCGTCATTGCTCAAAATCGTTTTTCGTATATACTACGATTTTATACTATGATTCAAATTTAACAAAATCAATTACAGTGACAAATTTGTAACATACTGTACAGCAGAGTGACACCCACTTGCCCACCTTTTTATTATTTATAAATACTGTTGTATGCGGAATGCCAATTTTCCATAACGCCGTGGGTGTTTGCCTAATCGCGATCATTAAATTAATACCACTGTGATCGATACGGAGGTACGTGTAGGTACCCACTTACACACTGTTTTAGTTTTTTTTTATAAATGTCAATAAAAATCGTTCTTTTTATATCTAAGATTTTAAAATTGAATACAAGATTCTTCATAAGTTGTTATAAAAGCAGATGAAATATATTAAAGACAGATAAATTTGCACGATTTTTTTTTGTTATCATTTAATGTTCAAATTTTGATAAAATTAATCAATATCTTGATAATTTACAAATTATTTAGTACATAGTTAAAAATGTACAACATTTTCAATTTTTATGCCTAGGTAAATCTATGGATTGAACATTTAAAACATGGTTTTTCATAAATAGTTCATACTGTAACCAAAAAATCTAAAAAATATATTATAAACATTAAACATTTAAACATAGTTTTATTTTATAGATACTTTAAGTTAAAATTTCAACCAAATTGGATATTTAAACAAAGAATAATGTATTCAGTTATTTTGTTGTAATTTAAAAATATTATTCGTGGGTAGTTGAAACTTATAATATATCATTATATTGTAAGTACCTACCAGGTACCTATAAAAATGCAATTTTGTTGGCGAAAAATAATTCAACCACTATGTATTACTTTTTACTATAGGTAATGTCTAATAGTAAATTAAATTACTTTAATAACAATAATATCATAAACTTTGTAATATTATAGACTGTCTTCGCTCAAAATCGTTTTTCGTATACAATGATTTTGTGTAATTGATTTCAAATTAAACCCATCCGTAACATCAACCCATCTAGACACCTTATACTGTACAGAACAGTAATGACGTAACCAGTTTTCTAAATTATATTGTGTCAGTGCGAATCTTCAATAATATTATTGTTTGTTTCAGTGCTAATGGCCAAATATATCTAGATCTGATAGTTGCCGTTATGACTATACATTCTGTCGGGTAAATTTATATTAATATTTACCAATCGTTCCCATCACACAGATTAGTATTATTACTATCATTATTATTGTTTTTTTTTTCATTATCTTTGTTGTATATTCAGAATACACAGCAACTCATAATAATTACCAAAACACTGTAATAAATACCATTTTATTAGTAGTTTATGCGCAAACATTATTTTGCACAACACGTCAACTCACATTACGTAGTTCGACAGTATTTTCCAGGCAATTCCGATCACTGCTGTTCGAATTGCACCACTACACTGTCTAGGTACACACACCCAGATATCCGGCCATCATTTTAAGATTAAAGTGAAGAACTTTTAGACCCGGAAACTTGAGTCCAATTTATATGTAGAGCAAATATACCCATATTATTAATTGTCCTACCTGTTGCTATAAAATATTATAATATTCATAACTGAGTTGCGTCCTCAAAACGAGACGCCTGTTAAAGGTTAGTTTACAATAACGAATCGACTTACGATTACCGATATAAATATCAAATACTTACGGCATTTAAGAACTGAAGATAATATTATGGTGTGTTATAGTGTTAGTGTGATAAAATTGAATGCACGCAGTGCCTACAAGAAACTGCATGATTTGTGCAATGCTAAATAATAAGAACGTAATAACCGAGCCCTACACTAATAAATAATTTGTTGAAAATCGAATGGGTAGCTCTGATATCTCATTTGATATAATATTATATTATACTACCTGCATTAGACATTATATAGTACCTACGAAATGTCGATAATTTAGACTTACGGTCGCAATGAGGATTGAATTAAACTAAAATAAAGATAAGTCTAAATAGCAGTCGGCTATCTAGTATTTTTATATATCTGTGGTTGAGATAGAGTACGATACTTTATCTACAATAAAGTGTAGATTGTACACGTGAGTCGAGATCACTTAAATGTTGGCAATAATCGAACAAACAATTTTTGTGGATAAGTCATAAGTACTGACGTACTGTTTTATGTAAGTAATAGTTATTTATATAAACTTGTAGGCACAAAATATAATCCACCGTTTTGGTTAGTAATATTAAGTGTATTCATCACTACCTGTCTAGTATCCAACAAAATGAAGCGACAATACGGGGATTTAAAAAACTGTTTTGAATCCGATATGGATACACGAACACGATATTTTAACACCTACAATTTTTTTTAAAACTCATACATTGGGTGCAAGGCAAATTAAACAAATGACGAGAGAGCTACTTAAACCAAGAAATTATAATAGGGTGGTTTTTAAATAATATAGCAAACTGTATGAAATAGTTATTATTTTGTTCATCAATACTACCGTCTACTGATACCTATAATGCATATTTATTGTATATTATGCATTTGTATCAATACTCAACCGTTACTTTGTATGTATGTTGGGGCCGATATAACATACAATAATTGTACGTGAGCCCGGTAAAGAAATACTTCGTACGCGCTCAACACACACGCACCGACCAACCACCTGTTTAATGTATAATGATGTATGATTAGCGACTCGAGAGTAGTGGACGGGATTGCCGAGCGAATAAGGCTCTCAGTGTCAGCGTGTGCAGTGGGTGTGTAGGTGTGTACTTAAAACTATAGAAATAAACATAACTCAAAATATGACGGTATTAAATTGGTGTATTGCTGGTAAAAGGACAAATTTATATATATTATGCACAACACAACAATATAATAATAATAATAATAATAATAAAATGCAACCCTTAATGCCAAAACAGTGCAGTATAATAATATGTGGCCCTCCTGACCCAACAGAATATAGGTATAATTCGTATATAAAAAAACTCTAGTAATAATTTGAAACAAAAACACACAGAATAGTGGAGAGAAGACACGGGCCAGCCGTTCCTTTCCTATACTTATAATGGTAATGCATAATACAATAATAATATTTTTGGCGATTCGCGCCTTCACAATAATAATATAAAAAATAACAACCAACAATGGCGATTCGTGCCGTACAATAAGTAATAACTAGAGTCCGGATTTATATTCTGTTAAAACGTTTGAAATATGATGTTTATATGCAGTTGAAATTTATGAAATATTCCTAAAAATATTCTCAATATTCTCAAAATATTCTGAAAAATATTGATAATAGTAACTAATGAGCAAAAAATATAAATAATATCTTAAAACATTTTTATTTGTTATTTAGTTATATATATGGAGCTGCGTCTGTTAACATCAATAATACTTTTTCGTCGTTTCTACCTAGTGGCCATAATATTTTTAAAGTATCATTTATAAAACGAGCCATAGTAGAATGATTTGTTTTTTTTAATTCCTTTTTGCACTCATTGTAAATATGATATATTTTCTTATTAATATTTATTAAAAACACAACTTTCACTAGGTACACGTGTACGCGTAAACTGCTTTACTGCAACAGTTTAAGGGGCCTGCTGGCGATTTTTCAAATTTTCCGCAATTCTATAAAATTTGAAAATTAAATTTTATATTTTAGTTGCCACCTCAATTATAAGACTTTTCCACTAATCTACTACCCAATACCTATTTAGGGGGGGTTGATAGGGTGTATTATATCGGTCAAAACATAGTTTACAGGAAAAAC